TGTGTGTGTGTGTGTCTGTGTGTGCCTGTTTCCAAGGAAAGGACAAACTATTTTGCAATCCAAATCCTAGCTGGATTAATTCTTCTAAACGAATGACTAAATCGTGTGACGAAACAAAATTGATGTTAGACCAAGTTCGTTCTTGCAGGAAATTCACAACCAGGGTTGCCCAAGAGAGCATAAACCAAGGTTGCACCAGAGAGCAAAATAAGAAAAGAAGGTTTTGAATAAATCTTCAGGTCGTTACGTCAACTTCCTACCGGCGCCAGAACGCACGTAAGATATTCCCAGCTTCCTGGTCCCTGATAGTACAGGTAGAAGAAGACAGGTACAGGTGCACGTAATGCTCAGTGCACACACACACACATAGTACACTGTCAATCGGATTAATCGGCGGTTTGAGTCAGTGCCAGCAAGATTTTCCAACATGAATATCGCAAACGCTATCATTTTGGCATAATACGTCCGTATTTGACCAATTTCGACCGTGATCTTCAAACAAAACGCGTTTGGTTTTTAAGGTCGTGAATCGAATCGGTCCGGTCGTGTTACACCGAAAAGGTAATTGTTGGATGTTTTTTTGCACAATCATGAAGGAAAATCTGGATAGTCCCGACTCCATCCGATGAATCCAACTGGCAGTCAGTGTGCGCTGGGGAATAAGACTGAAATTCTACAATGGCCGATGCGAAATGATACTGAGAACCATTCTCAACAGACGTCAGTGGTGCAGCTTTAAGGCCCTTTCCTTTCCAGCGCGGAAGACGAGAGTTCGATTCCCATGGGGGAGGAGTAAAAGGGGTGTATAATATGTGTGTATGTGTGTGGGGGGTATTTCTTCGACTACCTGCGTCTTTCTTCTGGTGAGACATTGTTGTGAAATCAGGGGCTCGTCAAAATAAAGAAATTGAAGAAAATGGCATTTTTCCACCAGTTTGGCCATTTTTATTGAAACTGTGTACTTTGGCTAAACACCTTAATGTGAGGCAGCGTGGTGGAATCAGGCTCGAGATCTCGTCAAAATAATCAAAATGAAGAAATTAGCATTTTTCCGCAGGTTGGTGAATTTTTATTAAATTTTTGTTTTTTTGGCTCAACACCTTTCATGCCCATTAAAGAACTCATTTCTGTGTGGATTTTTCTGAAAAACGTTAATTAAAGGCACACAAAATGTAAATTTTTAGTTACCACAGACTTTTAAGCTAAGGAAATAACTAACCTTTGGCAGCCATTTTCTCACTAATTTTACCTCAGAAAACAAGTGACCCCCACCTCCTTCTTTCGTAAATATCTCGACTTGTATTCAAGATAAATGGATACTTTTTTCATCCACATAAAGACAAGTGAACAAGCTTGAAGATGATACCAATAACTCTACATGCCCAAAAATTGACGAGAGCCTGATTCCACCACGCTGCCTCACTTTTATGTTCATATGAAAAAATATATCCATGTAAATTTGACTGAAAGACCTTGTTTGAAGGCACAAAATATGTATATTTCGAGAACTCTTTAGCTATTGAAGTTACCAAACTTTGGTGGCCATTTTCTCATTAATTTAACCACTGAAACCAAGCTACCCCCACTTTCTTCAATCACAAACATACCAACTTCTATTCAAGCTAGATGGATTTTTTTTCTTTGAAAGCAAGGCAAATGAATAAGCTTTCAGATAATATCAATAACTTCACATGCCCAAAAACTGACGATTGAGCGGCTGATCCCACCACGTCGAGACACAAATTGCATCAGACGCAGCTCTTGTTGGCCGTGACTAGCAGCCCGCCTCCTATACTGAATCCAATGTCTAGCAACGGGGTTGTAAAAAAAAATACACAAAACGAGACTATACTATATAAACTGAGAGTTCAACAACATGCGCAGTGTGCTAATATCCTTTTAAAGCGACATCGATCGATTTCTGAAATATACCGTAAACCCACTCGATCGCCATGGTGATTTTATTCGTCTGGGTATCGTTTTCAGTCGCAAATTCGTTCAGTATCGTTCTCTTTTGTGAGGTCAGCGGGGGTTCCCGGTGTAAATGATGAAGAAGGGGATGCTGGCTGGCGTGAGGCCAGGTCTTGGTGTGTGTGGGTGCTCACGTAGAGTGCGCGGTGGCGATAAGAAGGGAGACATTTTGCGAACTCCCGTCTGTCGGGGCAATATTTCTTCATTAAATAAATCAGCCAATTAACCTTGAGGGAAGTTCCTAGTCTACAGAGTCTGAGATGTTGATTCCTTTCTTTTTAAATATGTTCTTTACAGTCGTACCACACCCTCATATAAGTCTTTATCTCTCTCTCTCTCTCTCTCTCTCTCTCTCTCTCTCTCTCTCTCTCTCTCT